AGAAAGATGTCAATGTGGAGAGGTGGGGGATCCAGACTACTCCGTCTTCCACTGCACCAACACGGCACAGTGCCATATAAGAAAGCCAAATCAAGCTTACTGGCCACAATGGGCGGCAAATATGAGAACAAACAAAACAGCAAATAAAAAGCTACAAGCGGTAATCAGCCATTGTCAGATAAAGTTTTTTCTAATACGACGATAAGTGTCCCAAATAGAAATAATCAAGTGCTTAGCGCTCTGAATCATAAAATGTATAAATCACACTAAATCAATCTGGGCACACACCTCGAACGTCTCAACCCAAGGCTAACTTAGATAATTAGGACTATGGCAACAACCTGCCAATATTCTTTATAATGTTTACTTTTGCAATTAATGTACAGGTCTAGGACTCGCAAGACCAGATCGTGCCAGTAAAATCTTCAACAGCAATGAGTTTTTTCCTACACTTACTAATCGTGTATTTAAATTACAAGTTTGTGATAAATAGGTTCAAGAAGGGCAAGGTCAACTTATGTTATCACCTCAAGTTTATGAATGATATTATTATTGGTATGGCATTTTTGCCTTCTTAATTTTAATAAATATTCAACTTTTTATGCAAATTTTAGGGAAGAAATATCTGTATTTATGTGATCAATTGCATGTTTGAATCTCTTCCCTAGTGATCAGCATTACGTGCTTAATTATGTTTTGTATAAATTATGTGCATGTTCTAAGGTGATAAAACTAACTATGGAATTAATGTAGGTAAGTTTCTCTTTGTAATTATGTATCAGCATTATGTATTCAAGTGTTTGGAATCAGATATCAGTTTTACTGAGTATGGTGCTGTACTTTTCTGTTTATGTTCACTTTAAAGTACTCAAGTCTGTATTTATTCCTTCTCTGCATGTACTATGAAGGTCAGTTCGTACTTGGCTAGGATTTAGACTACATAGCAGTACTTAATGATCAGTTTTATGTATTATGCTTATCAGTTTTATTTTTAGTTTTCATGTATTATGTATGCATTTTTAAGTGTTATGTATGCAGGCATTAGGGATCAGCTTTCTGTATTTCTGTACTCAGTATCATGTTAGTTTTTCACTTTAATATTCAGTTTTGTACTTATGTATGTATTATCCTGTCTGCAAGTACTACGAAAGAAAATGTAGGTGAATGGTTCAATTTGTAAAACAACTACAGTTTAAGTATGCGCAAAGAACTAAATTATGCAGGAATTTGTTATCTTAGTGATAACAGGTACCCATTCTTTTAAATGTTCTTACATAAGAGTCAGGCACATGGAAAGTAAACTGCGTTAAATTATGTTTGGGCGCTAGGATTTTTTTAATCATCTTTTAATCTCTCTCTTTATTATTTTTTTTTATTTTTATTTTTATTTATTTTTTTTTTTTAAAGTTTACTATGTGCAATAATTTAATAGGTTACAACTTTCCTCCATGCAGGACCAACGATTTCACAAAAGCCCCATAAATATATGACAGTTGTGTCAGGATAAGCACCCGCATGTAGACATTTAGCAAGTCCAGAAAATCCACGGCAGTTAATTTTTCAGGCAGAGTCCTCCTATCTTTACTTTATCTAACACAAGTTTCTGTCTATTCTAACAGCGATTCTTAACAGTCTTGGATTGCTTCTTTGCTTAATTTTAAGTAGTTTCTAACAGAATACTCTTTCCCCGTACAACAACATCCAAGCTTATATGTAGACTTTATGAGGCTCTTAGCCGTCTATTCGGCTGCGTTCCCGGAGCAGGATGAAGCAGAGAGTAGATGGTTTCTGCCAGGAAGATAACACACTGTGAGGCTAAGGCCAGGTCAGTGGTCTTCCTTGGTGGCGCTCACTCACTCACTCACTCACTGCAGTGAGTATGAGATTAATAGCTTTTAAAGTTTACACCCATCTCGCTTTCACGAGAACGTTTTTCTCTTGTATTTAGTAAATGGGTTCTTTTGGTTTGGCGTGATTGGCGATGGGATATTTCGTAAGTACTGATTTTACAGATAAGTTTTGCATAAATATATGTCATGCAATAAAGGTTGTTTCCGCAATTGATTTTTCACTCTAGGGATTTCTTCTAACGATAAGCATGAACAAGTTGCATATTAGAATCTCAATGCTTATCGCTACCTAAATGAATTTTGCATCGTTGTATGTCCGACTTAATTGTTTTTGAGATCTGTTGAGCTAAAGCAACATGTTTTGAAATTCAGTGAATCTTTTACACAAACTCTTTATAACATGAAACTCTTTATAACAGAAAGGAATCAAAGCTTACTAGTAGAAAGAACACCACTTAAGAAATTTGACATGAGAATGATAATAGCACAAATTCCGAGTCACTGAGACAATTTTCATTTCTGATTTAAATTTGTTTTAGAACAGGATGATAACACAGTTCCCTATATTCAGTCAAAACACAGGCCACATATTAATTATTTCTCATACTTTACGAGAACGATAAGATGGAATAAATGTATGTTTCAGAATCTCATGGAGTGTTTGAAAGAAATATGCAACACAACTACGAATCAAGATTTCCCAACTATCAGAATGTAATACTCTGTAATGTACAGTTAAAAATATACTGAAATTAAAATTCCTGTTGTAAGAACGATAAGGAAATTATTGTATACTACTCTCATTTGAGGAAACATAGTATATTTATTAGGAAAAAAAAACCCTGCAATTTGGAATACGATTGTGTCAGAGATGAGTTTTGAAGTTAAAGTTTCCGATACTGTATAAAAGCTTGGGACTCAAGCTGTGGACAGTAAAACCTATTTGAATAATAGTTTAAAAAGTGATAGTATTATAATAGAGGAACCACTAATAAAATGATCAATGTGTTAATATTAATAACGTTATCAGAAGTTAAGATACTTGAAATAATGATGCCTTAAAGCCCCATTTGAAGTTGGTATAAAGTTTAGAATGTCATACTCTCAAATTGTGCATATGTAACCGTTAAATTTGTTTCATGATTCTTCCGGCCAAAACCTTCTAATGCACCATTTCTTTGCATGCGGTCAAACTGTGCTGGAGCTGCCAAACTTCTGCTAGCATCGTAGTCTGACTTGACCTTTAACTTTACCACTGCTGTACTTCAACGACGAGCTACACCACAAATTCAAATCCTACACAACACAAAATTCTTTCTAAAACTTTTCAACAAGAATTGTTTAAAATTTTTAACGTTGGGAACTAGCTGGAACATCTGTCTGGGTTTTAATCTAACTCAAGTAGAGTTTACCTGTTACATGAAATTCTTGGATTAACTTTCACTATTAATTTAACTAAACTCTGAAAGCAGAAAGACACAGATAGTATTTTAAATTAAAATATAATTTAAATTTAAATGTATTCTACGTCATTGCTTGTGAAAGTTAAATTTAAGAAAGTACAACACAAAGTTACCACCTGGAGATGGCTGTGAACGAAAAATATGTCTTTAAAATTTCTTGCATACTTAATGTATAATAACCAAGTAATTTGTAACATCAGCTATAACTACTAACAGCTACTCAAAATCTGAACATGCTAACCAACTCTACTTTGAGAATTTATTCTTGCGCTATTTGCTAAAATGTTAAGCTGGATGATAGGCAACGGACGGAGATCCAAATTTTTATACATAGTTAGGAGCTATTTTCCTAAATTAACAATAAACTGCTTGCCGCTCAAAGGTACATAATCTCTGGAATGAGCAAGATTCGCGGCGAAATAAAAACAATAGAAAAAAAAATGTAAATTAAAATCAGCGTTGTTAGCGAAATTCAAATAAAATGTCATAGGGAATCCAGCTGCCTTTCTCGAGAGGTTTTTTAATAGGTGAAAAGGGGTAAGAGATGCTCCGTTCGCTTGAGATAATCTCTATAAAACTGGGATGGAATTTCCCTCTTTTGGTTGATGTAATTTAGTCGTACTACGTGGTACTCAGTGGGCAGTGTTATAGGTAATGCAACAGCTAAATGATCAATAAAATTTCCCCAATTCCGACAAATGCATTAAGTATCTGCATGGAGCATATAAACGCTTAAGCGGTTACAAACATTAGCAAAAATTTTCATTGATTTGAATTTTTTCGTTTTCAAGAAAAAGATGATTTAGTATGTAAGTAACGGCACAGAAGAAATTAAAAATTGAACGTAAGGCAGAAATTAACTCTAATAATACAATTAAAGAAAAATAATAGAATATTAAACTATAAAATCTGGGTACTTACGTATTAACGCAATCACCTCAGTAGAAATCAGCAAATTTTCAGAACACGTCAAACTCTGGCAACCATGTGCATACCTATTTTTTCGGCAACTATGCTCATAATAGTCCTTCAGTGAAGCAACACCATAACTTCCGTATGCGTTATTTTTTGTATTCCAAATTCCAATGATTTTTGTGAAAAAATGGCGACATGTTTTGCCTTAAACTTAGTTTTAAAACATGAACTTGTGGAATTTGCCAGCAATTGAAAAAAAAAAAAAAAAAAAAAACTGTGGTAAAATTTCTGGAAGAATACAGAATTTTGCTGAAAATTGTTTAAAAAGGGAACAAGGAAATACGTTCCTTGATAACCGCTTTTGCTGAGGTTTGTACGAAGATAGGTCTTCACAATTCTCTGACGTTTATTTAAGAGAAGACAGATTGACGTGTACTTTCGGAGAACAGAAAAACATTACAGGAAGATTTCAAAAGAAAGAAAGAAACTGATTTATTTTTTAATTGTATCACATAATCCTTATTTCATATTTGTATTTTAAAAGTAATTTTAATTTGTATGATAATCTGGTCTAATTAACAATAAAGATAATGCACATAATGGGTCGCTGTATAAGCAAAAAGGCAGTAGACGTTTTATAATTTTACACTAAAAATGGGAAGTATGCCCTTATAACCAACCACATTATTCCACACTGAGTTCATATAATATTATATTTTAAACTTTTAATTGCAATAAACATTTTTAGTTACTAAAATGTGCTAAAAATTACCTTTATAAAACAAAAGCAAACAGCAAGCACCATTGATTTTCCTTTGAACTTTAATATAAAAATAGAATTCTGTACAGGTATTTTGTCTGTACCTGCTTCTGACAGAATCTATTCTGCTAATATTTGTTGCTTAAATATTTATCATTCCTACATTTTATCGAAGTTCAAAGTCTTTAACAACGAAGAAAAATTCTTATTAAGATAAAATACTGATAGCTGAATTTTGTTTACGTTTTTTCGCGTAACAAAAAATTGTTTCTACAGAAGAACCTTTCTTTTACATGGAAAAAAAGTTAATGATTATTACGTTATTGACAATTCGGAGGAATATTCTCGTTTTCATTTACAAAGAAAACCTTACAACCTTGAGATTAAAACGGGTTTAAAATTATTGGAGCTAATATTTAACATTAAAATAAATACTCCTATAGATAATCTCTCCTCCCCCCTCTCTTTAAATATAAAGTTTTTGATCGCCCAGATCAACATTTTTGATGAAATTTTCAACATTTTGAAAAATCTGAAATATACACCACATTCAATAACATTAGTATAAATTTAAATTTCTATTTATATTAAGTTTGAAATTAATTATTTTAATATTATTTAATTTCAAGTAAACCGAATCGTTTGCATTTTATGAACTTTAAGTGTTAACAAAAAGAATACATATCTGCATGATCTTTTTTTTTTGGGGGGGGGGCGGGTAAAATACAGGAAAGCACAGAAAGCCTATCTGTCTAAGAGAGCGAATTCTTTCGTCGAGAACATCTTAAACGAAGCTGAATCATATTTAAGCTAAATATAAGGAAATGAATGACAGTAGCCATGTAGCAAGTACTTTCACTAAAATTCGAACTGGCGGTTGGACTATTAGGATATAACTTCTTACACGAACATTTGTAAAAGTATGACCAGAATTTGAAAACAAGATAGAGTAATTCATATTTTTTTCATTGTTTCTAAAAGTTACAATACCTATCAGCTATAAGGCTCAGAAAGAAAAAAATGTCTGACTCATGGATCATACTCCTGGACATCTTTCCTCACCTATGATTCAGGTAGTTTTCTTTTCTGTTGGACGCATAAATTATCCCGTATGCAGATATTTGTATTTGACTTCTAAATTCCTCTTCTCACCTTATAAGGTATTTCTCCCACTTCCCTAGCGTGCCTTCGTGGTGTAACAGTAGTACGCTGGGCCGGTATCCAGAGGTCCGTGGTTTGATTTCCGGCGAAGGCGGTTGAATATTTTTTTATCTTTTCTGCTTCCAATTAACCTAATGACTCTACAAGTGGCGCCCGAACTAAAAGGATTGTGGATGATGATTCTCCGTACCCAGGATTTGGCGGCTAGATCCCCTAAAACCCTAGTCGCCCTTTAAGAAGGGGAGTATATAAGGTATTTCTCCCACTTCCCTAGCGTGCCTTCGTGGTGTAACGGTAGCAGGCTGGGTCGGTATCTAGAGGTCCGTGGTTCAATTCCCGGTGAAGGCGGTTGCATATTTTTCATATTTTCTGCTCTCAGTTAACCTAATGACTCTACAACCTGTCTGGGACTTTAAAACATGACCTATTGAAAAGACATACCTTCGTATCTGAAATAATAGCGGCTCTTGGACTCATGGATCTGGTCTAGCCTATTGGCTAACCAGTTAGGATCAGTAACAACAACAGCAACACAAAAATGTTGCATATCGGCACATAATCTTTAAGTACTGTATGCATCTTAACAGATCCTCATTACTGGTGATGTGGAACATTTTGGTAACACTCATCGATCCGAGTTGTCTTGTTTGTTTTGCATTGCACATGTACCCAGTCTTTCCGAACTTATTACTGCACGCATAGATTATCTCGTCTGCAGGTACTTCTGTTTGATATTTCAGAGAAAATCTCTGTAATGCCGTTATAACCAACTTTTTAAAGAATTCTAATATGTAGGGAGAGTAAGTTCACCAATAAATACAAAATTTGAATTATATGCCGCATAGCAGTTAAATCTGCAACTGCATGAGACGGCCTTTTATGGGAATAAACATGGAGAATTTTCTATGCATTGATAGCATTATTTTATTTGTTATAGGTTTTCTGCTAGAGACTTTTTATTTGTTATAGTTTTTATGGTACAGAAATCCTGGAGGGGACTATAGAGCTGCCTGTACGTTAGTAACCCTAAATAACAAATTTAATATAAGTGAGCGAATGAATGTCGTAAATGAAAAGACATTTGGAAATAATCTGCATGTGTTGCATCTACATTTTCAGTGATGCGTTGCCAAGTGTTGTCAACGTTTACGTTTTTTATATGTTTGCCTACGACTCAGGCGATAGATGATTTTAATCTCTAAGTATTTTCATATGAGTAAATTCAAGCATATATATGCGTATCCACGTATATTTTCTCTGAAGTATTTGAAGTTCATTTCAAAATTTAAAAAAATAAACTATCACTGTTAACGTTTCGTATTTGACACAAAGAAGATGTTGCTATTGAGAAAGCCATAAAAATCTTTCACGTATTTTGCATTTTATAAAAACGCTTAACTCATCAGCGAAGCGAATTGAATATTTAAAAATTATCTGCGTTACTTAATAACATTCAGGAATAAATATTAATTATATTAATAGTATTATAAATTAAAAAATGTCAAAGTCCACATAATTTTAAGTTTATAGTGGCGTGCTTCGTTTTTCTATCTGAAGTCCTACCAATGGCCACGTTGTTAATACCACTGAATCCTGGTAATTCCATCTACTTTGGGCTTGAACCTAGGCAAACCGGCTGACTGCATGGTGCATTTACTCATGTGTAACGTAAATAAGAGACAATTCCCCTCAGAAGTTTCCCAATGAAGATATCCTTTTTCTTAAGCAAATAGATCTTCTGGCTTTGCCATATTCAAATAATTTAACCTAAACCTTTCCTATTTGATCCGCGTAACATTTCAACTGAAATACTTTTAAATTTCATAATTTGTGTAGATCTCTCTTTATACACACTTTTTTTAAACTTTCATTCAAACGTTGATGCATTTTTTAATTTGATATTTTCATATTTTTATTATTGTACGTTAAAAAATAGTAACCTCCTAGAAACAAAAGCCGAAGTTTATAAAACTGATATTCCTTTCTTAATTTAAGTTTTTTATTTTATTTAACAGTCATAATTTACCCGTAGTTTTATCAGCTAGCAACTAAAACCGTTAAATTTATTCATGCAATAGTAAAATTCTCTTTGAAATACTCGACTGTAAATTGAAGATCTCAGGTTTAAACTTTATTTACTAAACGCCTCGAAAGAAAACTCTTCCGAGGTTTTTATTGTTCGCGTTAAACGTATTTCATGATCCGGCAAACTAGAAAGTATTATCACATGTGGTAAAAATCTGTTTGAAAGCTCGTGCGGAAACCGTCTAGTAAAATAAACAATAAGCCTCTTAATTAAATGCGGTAATCTCCACATGGCAATAATTTACGACGAAATAATGTGGACAATTTTTAATTGCTCCCTTTAAATATGTGATGTTGTGTTCAGTATCTGTTTCTAATAATTAATTTTTTAAAAGCAGGCTACCCTAAATGCCTAACTTAAACTATAAACAACACCCGATGATATGAATTCGATTTTTTAAGTGTTTATTACTTTTATATTATTTATTTTAAAAATAAAAACTTAAATGTTAAACTAACGTTTGGTGCTCTTTAAAAATTTATTTAGTATCGCTTTTTGCATAATATAACTGAGACGCATCTATCCAACGCATGCTAAACTATAAATTGGCGAGAGAGGACTAATGCTGTGCCCTCCCCGTCAGGTACCTATCTCTTTTGGAGAATATTCTTTACGGTTGTATCACAAGTCAGGCCCTAAAGGGATTCTTTAAATAACTGGCAAAAGTAGGGATCACTATCACCCTGCTGCAAGCCAGTATACCAACCAAGCATAAAAGCATCAAATGCTGTGCCCTGTATCCTGTAGCAAAGGTTTTAGTCATTCTGGCAAATAATCCTGAAGCTGAAATGCCACCTAATCTGTAAGTCTGATGAATTAGTTTACGTAAGTCATTTTGTTTTTCAACATTTTGATTTGTAATGTCTCTGAAAATTATTGGTAAATTTATTAGCTCAAAAGGGCGTTAGCCCGAATGGACTATTAATCCCGAAACGGGATTTTGCAGGGAATCACTTTAAATCTCTGAATCACTTTTCAGACTGTTGTCACGAAATATTATTGCCCTGCATTACTTTTAAAGAAATTAATCTGCATGAATGTATGTGAAAATCACCTTGGACTAAAAGAATTAGGTTTGTAGACATACAAACTTTATTAACATTCTTAAAACATGAAGTATTATTAAACAGAAAAATGCCTGCAGCACAGTGCGGCTAAGAAAATATTCTTCTATTTTCAAACATAAAACAATATTGCTACCATTTCCACAAATTCAATAGTGAAACAAAACATGTCTCCAGTAACACGATTAACGTATATTAATGACAATATAGAATGCCGTCCAGACGGTATAGTGGTTAAGAGAGCCTGGCTGCAATACCGAAGGGCCTGGGTTCGAATTCCGGAAGAAGGCATGGATGTAACTGTCTGTCCCTTCATAGGAGGCTAAAGTGGCCAACCTGTTATGTACCTCCATAATAAAGAGACAACCACATTTGGCCTTGGATGTGACCGATGCCCGCCATAGGAAAAAAACGATAATATATAGAATTAAATAGTGAGGAAATAAGTTAGGCAAAAAAAAAAAGAAATGCAAATATTAAATACATATCCAAACATTATGTATGTTTTTCGCATTGTGAAAAAATGATGCTACCCAGAGAAATCCATTTTTGAATAACGTAGTCTTCAACTCAAAGATTTGCACCTGGACTAAATTCAAATTAATTTTATTATCTGTTTCATATATTATAATTTTAGTGGATTTTTGATTATCAAACTCAACGATATCAAAGCGAGCACTGGCAACTACGCGCGGAATAAAACGTTTTTATTTCCAACGCGCGAGACTGTATATCGGAAATTCTAAAGATATGCTGTTTTTAAATATTTTATTGTGCATTTTAAGTTTTCTAAAACTTTTAATGAATTTTTGATTAATAATTCAAAT